TCATGGGGGGCTGCATGGCTGCCCGGGGGCGGGGGGGGGGTCTGCACGGCTGCCGGGGGGGTGCACGGCTCCCGGAGGGGGTCTGCACGGCTGTGGGGCGGGGTCTGTGCGGTTCATGGGGGGCTGTACGGCTCCGGGGGCGCTGCATGGCTCATGGGGGGCTGTATGGCTCCCGGGGGGGGCCTGCATAGCTCTCGGGAGAGTTGCATGACTCCGGGGGGGGCTGCATGGCTCCTGGGGGTCTGCACGGCTCCCGGTGGATACAGCACCGAGCTTCACCCTGTCTCTCTCCCTGCAGCTCCGCCGCCCGGGGGGAGCAGCCCCTGCTGGAGACGCACCCCCAGAACCGGGGGGGCGATGAGGCGCCTGCCCTGGAGGGGGTCGGTGGGGGGCTGTGCTGCAGCCCGTGGCTCCAAGCCCCAGAGATGCACCTCCAGCTCCTCTGCCAGCCACCCGCTGCCGGAGAGCCCGGGCCAGGAGCCGGGCAAGGGCCAGCGGCGCATGAACCCCCTTAACATCCAGATGCTCTCCAAGACCCTCCACGAGCAGATCTTCCGGGGGGCCCAGGTATGCTACTCGGCGGCCGACATCCAGAGGAGCGTGGAGCACCTGCAGCGCCACGACCTGTGGGGCAAGGAGACCTCCACCCTCCCTGACGTGGACCTGCAGCTGCCCCGCATGTACGGGGACAACATCGACGAGCATTTTCGGCTCCTGGCGCAGAAGCAGAGCTTGCCCTACCTGGAGGCGGCCAACGAGCTGCTGCGGTGCGAGCTGCCCCCCGTGCCCGCCCAGTGGGCATGGCAGCTCGGCTGGACCCGCTACGGCCCCGATGGGCAAGCGGAAGCCGTCGACTTCCCCGAAGAGCGGGCGGTGGTGTTGGACGTGGAGGTGTGCGTGGCTGATGGCCACTGCCCGACGCTGGCCGTGGCGGTCTCACCACACGCCTGGTGAGATGCGGTGATGCTTGGGGGTCTCGGTGGTGGGGGGGGACAGCTTTGGGAAGGATGGGGATGCTCCTGAGCGGTGCCTCTTCCCGTAACCCACCTGATGTGGGACATGTCCTGGTTAGAGTGCACCCCAGGGTCTGTCACCTCCCTCCCACAGGTGGGATCATCACCCCACGTTGCAGCGGGTGCTTTTGGTCCCTACTTTATTTTTCATGGCTGTGGGGTGCTGGGTGTCACCCGCAGGTACTCGTGGTGCAGCAGGCGGCTGCTGGAGCAGCGCTACTCCTGGTCCAGCCACCTCACCCTGGCCGACCTCATTCCCCTGGAGAGCCCGGCAGCCGCCAGCTGTGCTGGCAAGCAGGACTGGCAGGAGAGAGTGGTGGTGGGACACAACGTGGCCTTCGACCGGGCGTTCATCAAGGAGCAGTACCTCATCCAGGTAATGGGCTGCTCCTTGTTGCAGCTGGAATTCGTTACCCGGGTGGTTGTTTGGGCTGGCTTTTCAGCTTTCCAGGGTTATTGTGGCAGATGCTCGCAGGCTCGTCCTGCTTTGGGGCTTCAACCAACCTGATATCTGCTAGAAAAGTAGCAGAGCGAGCTGTAGGCAATCCAGGAGACTCCTGGAGTGTATTGAGGGTAACTTCTTAAGGCAGGTAATAGACAGCCCCACCAGCGAGAATGCGATACTGGTCCTGATGGTCACCAATTCAAGTGGCTGAATTGGTGAGGTCGAAGAGCCTGGGCTGCAGTGATCTCCACGCGTTGGTGGAGTTCACCTGAGGGATATGTCTCGGGGGAAGAGTAAAGTTAGGACCCTGAATTTTAGGAAAGCTAAAATCCAGTTCTTCAATGAGTTAATCAATAGGACCTGCTAGAAGACTGCCTTCAGGGACAAGGGAACAGAACAGAGCTGGCAGATTTTTAAGGACGCTTTTCTTAAAGTACAACAGCTGTCAACCAGAAAAAGAAGGCAAGAGTCCCAGAGAGGTGGTAGGTGTGCCATCCCAGGAAGCATTCAAGGTCTGGTTGGACAGGGGCTCTGAGGAACCTGATCTAGTTGAAGATGTCCTGCTTATTGCAGGGGGGTTGGACTAGATGAGCTTTAAAGGTCCCTTCCAACCCAAACGATTCTGTGGTTCCATATTTTTGTACCCCGTAAGGTTGCTGGAGGTTTCAGGGTTGCAGCTGAGGATATGGCAGGAGCCTTCGAGCAGCCAACAGCCTGCGCTGGGGATGCTCTTGGCTTTCAGAAGAGGGATACCAGGAGGCAAAGCTTTGCCTTGACAAAAACAGTCCCAGCAGAAGACTTGCAGCTCCGTAACACAGGGCAGCGCTTGCTGGCAGTTGCAGGACGTTTGGCAGCATGTTTCAGCTCCAGCATATCCCAAACTGTCTCTCCTCTCTCCCTCGATGTGTCCCAGGGCTCCCGGGTGCGTTTCTTGGACACCATGAGCATGCACATGGCCATCTCGGGGCTGACGGGCTTCCAGCGCAGCCTCTGGATGGCTGCCAAGCAGGGCAAGAGGAAGGGACTGCAGCAGGTCAAGGAGCACATGAAGAAGACACGCAGCAAAACGGAGGGGCCAGCTGTGAGTAAGGGAGCTGTGGCCTGGGTGACAGGGGACCATTTGATCCTGTAATGGGACTGTTTGCTCTGTTACTGGGACCGTCTGCTGCTGTACCAGCAGAGTAGGAGCTGTTGGAGCAGCTCTTCCAGATGACCTGGCCTTGGTTTAAAATGGAGCAGTGGCATCCTTTACCTCTCCTGGTCTCGGCTGAGGGTGGTCCTCATCCTGCACTGTCTGGTGGACAGTAGGATGACCATGAGGCAGCAATGTGCCCTTGTGGCCAAGAAGGCCAATGGCATCCTGGGGTGCATCAGGAAGAGTGTGACCAGCAGGTCAAGGGAGGTCATCTTCCCCCTCTACTCTGCCCTGGTGAGGTCCCATTTGGAGTACTGTGTCCAGTTCTGGGCTCCCCATTTCAAGAAGGAGAGGGAACTGCTGGAGAGGGCACAGCAGAGGGCTACAAAGATGATTAGGGGACTAGAACATCTCTCTTATGAGGAGAAGCTGAGGGACTTGGTTCTTTTTAGTCTGGAGAAGAGAAGGCTGAGGGGAGATCTGATCAACGCCCATAAATACTTAAGCGGTTGGTGTCAAGGAGATGAGGCCAGTCTTTTTTCAGTGGTGCCCAGGGACAGGACAAGAGGAAATGAGCACAAACTTGAACATAAGAAGTTCCATCTAAAGATGAAGAGGAACTTCTTTCCTGTGAGGGTGGCAGAGCACTGGAACAGGCTGCCCAGGGAGGTGGTGGAGTCTCCTTCTCTGGAGCCATTCAAAACCCTCCTGGACACGTTCCTGTGCAACCTGCTCTGGGTGGACCTGCTCTGGCAGGGGGGTTGGACTAGATGATCTCCAGAGGTCACTTCCAGCCCCATGTGATTCTGTGACCCCACTGTCTTGTTGGCAGATCACTTCGTGGGACTGGGTGCACGTCAGCAGCATCAACAACCTGGCAGATGTGCACGCTCTGTACGTCGGGGGGGAGCCGCTGGAGAAGGAGGCACGGGAGCTCTTTGTGAAGGGGACCATGGCCGACATCAGGAGCAACTTCCAGGTGCGGGCGGCCATCCCAACGTTCCCATGGGAGCGGGGTGGGAGCAGCTCCTGGGGTAGTTTCCATTTTGCTGCCCTTTCTTGCGAGGGCTTTGGGTGTGTGTGGGGCTGTGATGTTTCCCATCCTCCTGCAGTCCTGGTGCCTTGCCCTGTGCTGGCAGAAGGGTGGCTGCTTTGCCTGCTCTCACCTACCTCTGCCCCCAGGACCTGATGTCCTACTGTGCCCGTGATGTCCAGGCCACCCATGAGGTGTTTCAGGAGCAGCTGCCGCTCTTCATGGAGAGGTGAGAGCCGCCAAACTCTGCCCAGTGTTGGCTGTGGTCTTGGCCAGCAGTGAGGAGGATTTTGGTCCCTCTGGGGATGGGATGTGGCTCTTTTTGTCCTCGGGGTGGCAGTGGGAGGTTGGGAGGACCTGAACTTCATTTCAGGTGGGACCTCAGACCCTCTCTTTGCAGGCAAGAAGGAATAGATGGCAGCACAGTGTGACTGGAGGAGGAGGCGAGCAGCGAATGAGGCAGATCAGAGCAATACAGCTTTGGGGTTAGTGCACGGGGTTGTTTTTAGGGTAGCAGTTTATGTGCAGGGCAGGCAGAAGATACAGAGATCCCTAGAGGTTTAGAGGAGGAGCATCAAGGACTGTATGGGGCTGGGAAACTCTAGGTGAAGACATGGTTATGTCTGTTGTAGTCTGGTGCTTCCAGGGCAAATTCCCTCCAGCAGATACCTAATTCCTTGCTGCTTTGGGCTCCAGGTGCCCCCACCCCGTGACGTTTGCTGGGATGCTGGAGATGGGGGTGTCCTACCTGCCTGTCAACGGGAACTGGAAGAGGTACTTGGATGATGCTCAAGGCATCTATGAGGAGCTGCAGAAGGAGATGAAGAAGTCCCTGATGAACCTGGCTAACGAGGCCTGCCAGCTGCTGCACGAGGAGAGGTATCCCTGGGCTGGGGGAGCAGGTCCTGCTGTTTGCAGGATGGAGGCCAGCTCCTGGGTGGTCCCTGGTAGGGGGGGGCTGCAGGTGGGTGCTGGGGATGGGGACAAAGCTGCGGTGTGACAGCGGTGTGTTGGCAGGTACAAGGATGACCCCTGGCTCTGGGATCTTGAGTGGGACACACAGGAGTTTAAGCAGAAGAAGAATCCGGGGAAGAAGAAGAAGAAGGGTCAGGACACAGAGGTCAGCAAAGCCTCCGTGGTGGCGGCAGGCACAGATGAGTCTGCACAGGAGTGGCAGGAAGGTGAGCATGGGTGGTCCCTGGGGACCAGGGATGCTCGAGGGATGCCTTCCCGTGGGCACCCAGATGAAGGGAGGTGGCTCGTTGGCACTGGCAGGGTGAAGCATCGCTGGCCTGTGTCCTCGTGCTGGGGTGCGTGGTGGGGGGCTGCCTCGACGTCCCCATCCCCAGTGGGGTGGCACAGAGGGCTCTCTGCCAGCCAGTCCTCCTTGCCCCACCAGACCCTGGCCCCCCTGGCGAGGATGAGGAGCTGAAAGCCCCTGCCAGCCAGGTTTGCCTGGAGCGTCTGAAGGAGACAGTCGAGCTGCAACCCAAGAGACTCCAGCACCTGCCAGGCCACCCGGGGTGAGTTGGGGACCCTGGGTGTCCCCAGGGGTTGCCCTGTGCTCTCTGACCCATCCCTGCTGCTCCCCAGCTGGTACCGCAAGCTGTGCCTGCGCCTGGAGGACGCCGGGTGGGTGCCGGGACCCAGCCTCATCAGCCTGCAGATGAGGGTGACCCCGAAGCTGATGCGCCTGGCCTGGGATGGCTTCCCCCTCCATTACTCGGAGAAGCACGGCTGGGGCTACCTGGTGCCGGGGCGGCAGGACAATTTGCCAGCAACCCCCTTGGATATGGAAGGTCCTCCCTGCCCGCACAGGTGAGGGGGATGATGTGGAGTTCTGAGCTGGGGACTGCCCCGTGGTGGGGTTTGGGAGCTTCCCCAGACCCTTCCCAGGTGTTGCCTCGGTCCTCATTGTGGGTGCCTGAGCCCTGCCCTCTCCTCTGCCAGGGTGATCGAGTACCTGTACAGGCAGTACTGCCTGGAGAAGGGCAAGGAGCAGCCCCCGGGGCTGGACGCTGCCACGGAGGACGAGCTGCTGGTGATGGACGGCAGCACGATATGGCAGAAGGTGAAGGAAGGGATGGAGGGTTCCTCAGTGGGAGGGAGATGTGATGGGGCTGGGCTTATTCCCATCTGTGTGTGAAAACCAGCCCCGTGTGTGGCTCTGGGGGCTGGAAGTAAGACATTTCCTTTAATGAGTGTTAAATCGCTGGAGAAGGGGTGTTTGACCCAGCTCCCCCCATGGTCCCTCTGCTGCAGGTGGAGGAGCTGAGCCGACTGGAGGTGGACGTGGAGGAGAAAATGAGCAGAGCAGACCAGAGCCTGGTGCAGGTAAAGGAAGTTTCCAGCAGAAGGGGGTGGTGGATTGGTCCCTCTTTCCTTGGTTTCCCCCTCCTGCCATCCCAGGAGGATTCCTGGCATCACCTTGCATGGCTGTTTGCAGGATGAGATGGATGAGCTGTACGAGCTGGGGGAGGTGAGGAGCCAGCCTTTGTACCACCATGGCAACGGTCCCTACAACGATGTCAACATCCCCGGCTGCTGGTTCTTCAAGCTGCCTCACAAGGCAAGTTGGGTGCTCCTGGGGCTCTTCCTGGGGGCTTCCCAGCCACCTCCCATCCCAGCTTCCCTGTCCTGTGCCAAGGCCGTGTTGTCTTGCTTGTCACCCCAGTGCTGTGGGACTCCTGGGACCCCTGAGATCTTGTCCTGTGGTGGAAAGGCATCTCTGGCTGGGGCAGGAGAATGCACAAGAGCAGTGGTGTGCTGAGCCCTGGCACTTCTTTTCCTTCTAAAGGATGGGAACGATAACAACGTGGGAAGCCCTTTTGCCAAGGATTTCCTGCCCCAGATGGAGGACGGCACCCTGCGGGCTGCTGTGGGCCGCACCCACGGGACCAGAGCCCTGGAGATTAACAAAATGATCTCGTTTTGGAGGAACGCTCACAAGCGGATCAGGTGAGCAGCTACCTTTGGGTGAATCGTGATGTCCCTGTGGGTGGAGGCTGAGTTGCAGCCAGGGGAGGTGGTGTGGACACGAGGGGGCTCAGCATCTCGCCTGCTGTGTGTCCTCCTCAGTTCCCAGATGGTGGTGTGGCTGAAGAAAGGGGAGCTGCCTCGCGTGGTGACCAGGTACGGGGAGGAACGGCCCCAGCTGGGACCACGATCCCTTCCACCCGGCTCCGGGAGGGCTCTTGTGGGATGATGCTCACCCTCACCTCTGTCCCAGGCACCCCGACTATAACGAGGAGGATGAGTATGGAGCCATCCTGCCGCAGGTGGTGACCGCGGGCACCATCACCCGCCGGGCGGTGGAGCCCACGTGGCTGACGGCCAGCAACGCCCGGGTACGGCCACGCTTGGGTCCTTGGGGGGGTTTTGGGGAGCCCTCTGTGTGTTTTTGGGCTGGTGGGAGCAGCCTGGGTTGGAATTGGAGTTGGATGTTGGGGTTTGAGGGGGAAGGGCTGGTGCTGGGGCCCTTCTCTTGCTGATATGCTTTGACTTTGGGAGAGGGAAAGATCCTGAGCTTCAAAACTTGGTGAAAGGAGGAAAAAAAACCAGTGAAGCACCAGTTTCTGTCCTTCCCCAAGTTCCCCTTCTTCCACGCTGGAGGAACCCAGGGGGAATAACCAAGTGATTGATGTCCCATGTGTGGGTTAAACCCAGTTTTGACTTCCAGAGCAGAGTTTAGGGCACGGGAAGCGCCGTGGAGGAGAGGGAGGTGCAGGAGTTGTGCTGAGCTGGACATCATGTCCCACAGGCCGACCGGGTGGGCAGCGAGCTGAAAGCCATGGTCCAGGTGCCGCCTGGCTACTCCCTGGTGGGCGCGGATGTGGATTCCCAGGAGCTCTGGATAGCTGCTGTCCTTGGCGAGGCGCACTTCGCCGGCATGCACGGTGAGCTGAGGTGATCCCCCGAGCCCGGTCCTGCTTGGTGTCCAACCCCTGCTGTCACAGAATCACATGGGGTTGGAAGGGACCTCTGGAGATCATCGAGTCCAACCCCCCCTGCCAAAGAATGTCCACCTAGAACAGGTTGCACAGGAACGTGTCCAGAGAAGGAGACTCCACCACCTCCCTGGGCAGCCTGTTCCAGGGCTCTGCTACCCTCACAGGAAAGAAGTTCCTCTTCATCTTCAGATGGAACTTCTTATGTTCAAGTTTGGGCCCATTTCCTCTTGTCCTGTCCCTGAGCACCACTGAAAAAAGCCTGGCCCCATCCTCTTGCCACCCACTCTTTAAGTATTTATGGGCGTTGATCAGATCCCCCCTCAGCCTTCTCTTCTCCAGACTAAAAAGACCCAAGTCCCTCAGCCTCTCCTCATAAGGGAGATGCTCCAGGCCCCTCATCATCTTTGTAGCCCTCTGCTGTTCCCTCTCCAGCAATTCCCTGTCCTTCTTGAACTGGGGAGCCCAGAACTGGACACAGTGCTCCAGAGGGGGCCTCACCAGGGCAGAGCAGAAGGGCAGGATGACCTTCCTTGACCTGCTGGTCACACTCTTCCTGATGCACCCCAGGATGCCCTTGGCCTTCTTGGCCACAAGGGCACATTGCTGGCTCATGGTCATCCTATTGTCCACCAGGCCTCTTAGGTCTTTCTTCTTAGAGGTGCTCACTAACAAGTCATCCCCCAACCTGTCCTGGTGCAGGGGGTTATTTCTCCCCAGGTGCAGTACCCTACACTTGCCTTTATTGAATTTCATCCAGCTCCTCTCTGCCCAGCTCTCCACCCTGTCCAGGTCTCGCTGTATGGTGGCACAGCCCTCCAGCGTGTCCACGACCCCTCTCAGTTTTGTATCATCAGCAAACCAACAACCCCTCTCAGTTGTGTATCATCAGCAAACCTGCTGAGGGTACCCCCCTGTCCCCCGTCAGGTTGCACCGCCTTCGGCTGGATGACGCTGCAGGGGAAGAAGAGCAACGCCACAGACCTGCACAGCAAGACAGCCGCCACGGTGGGCATCAGCCGGGAGCACGCCAAGGTCTTCAACTACGGGCGCATCTATGGGGCCGGGCAGCCCTTCGCCGAGCGGCTGCTGATGCAGTTCAACCACCGGCTGACGCAGCAGCAGGCCCGCGAGAAGGCCCAGCAGATGTATGCTGTCACCAAGGGTGTCCGGAGGTGGGTGCTGCCCCTGGGGGAGGCGGAGGGGGAGCGGGGACAGGGATGGCGGCTGTGTCCCATGGGACACCTCAGCCTGGGTGTGTGGGTCACTCTCTCTCGCTCCTCCAGGTTTCATCTCTCTGAGGACGGGGAGTGGTTGGTGAAGAAGCTGGACCTGGCTGTGGACAGGGCAAAGGATGGATCGGTGTCGGTCCAGGATGTCCACCGGCTCCAGAGAGAAGCCATGAAAAGGTGAGATGCTCTGACCCTGCGTGGCTGTGGTGGCACTGGGGTACGAGACAGATGGAGCTGGAGCCCCACAGGCAGAGAAGGAGATGGGTTGGGTGGTCCTGATCCTCTCTCCCTGCTGTCCCAGGGCTGGGTCTGTTTGATCTGGGGGCTCCCAGTCTCTCCCAGCAAACAACTAGCAGCAGGAGATTGCAGGGGCTCATCTGGCAGCCCCAAAGCACTTGAGGTTCTCAAACAGGGCTCCCAGCCTTGTCTCTTGCTTCCAACAAACCTCCCCTCTGCCCCACCAGGTCCCGGAAGAAGAAGAAGTGGGATGTGGTGCTGCACCGAGTGTGGGCTGGTGGCACCGAGTCTGAAATGTTCAACAAGCTGGAGAGCATCGCCTTATCCCCATCCCCACAGACCCCGGTGCTGGGCTGTCACATCAGCAGGGCCCTGGAGCCCGCTGTGGCCAAGGGGGAGGTAAGGATGGGGCTCTGTGCTGCTGAGCTCACAGCTTGGCTTCTCTTCTCCAAAATGGCAACCCTAAGTTCAGCCCTTCTTAGATGTTGGAGACCCAGTAGGCTCTTGAAGCCATGAAGAAACCCATTGCCCCTATTCCTTGTCTGTGCCATCAAGAAAACCCAACAACCCTGAATATAACAGGCTTCCCCCAGGAGCTCTCCTCTATCAGTACCAGGCCCTGGACCCTGATGGGCATCTAGCATCCATCTGTGTTTCCTTCCACCAGTTTCTGACCAGCAGAGTCAACTGGGTGGTGCAGAGCTCAGCCGTCGACTACCTGCACCTCATGCTGGTCGCCATGAAGTGGCTTTTCGAGGAGTTCGACATCAACGGGCGCTTCTGCATCAGCATCCACGATGAGGTGCGCTACCTGGTCCAGGAGCAGGATCGCTACCGGGCAGCCCTGGCCCTGCAGATCACCAACCTCCTCACAAGGTGAGGTGGGGACGGCTGTGGTGTCTCCTGGGGACAAGCACCAGCGCCCCTGGGGTGGGACAAGGGACTGGGGTGGCAGCAGAGGGGTTAGCTTTGCCTGCACCAAGCTGCTGCAGAGGAGTTTTCTTCTGCTCAAGCAAAGTTGGCAGCGCTGGAGGTGTCAGTTTCTTCATGGGTGGCTATAAATGGAGCTTGGCTTTGATTTCCAGGGATGACGTGCTGGCAAGAGGGGGATATTGTCAGCTTTTGGCTTCTGCCAATCATGAAGTTCAACAAGGGCAAGTGTAGGGTGGGCGGGAATAACCCCGTGAACCAGTACAGGTTGGGGGCTGACCGGCTGGAGAGGAGCTTTGAGGGAAAAGACCTGGGAGTCCTGGTGGACAACAGGATGACCATGAGCCAGCACTGTGCCCTTGTGGCCAAGAAGGCCAATGGCATCCTGGGGTGCGTCAGGAAGAGTGTGACCAGCAGGTCAAGGGAGGTCATCCTGCCCCTCTGCTCTGCCCTGGTGAGGCCCCATCTGGAGCACTGTGTCCAGTTCTAGGCTCCCCAGTTCCAGAAGGACAGGGAACTGCTGGAGGGGGGACAGCAGAGGACTAACAAGATCATAGGGGACTCGAACAACTCTCTGATGAGGAAAGGCTGAGGGACTTGGGTCTTTTTAGTCTGGAGAAGAGAAGGCTGAGGGGGGATCTGATCAACGCCCATAAATACTTAAGGGGTTGGTGTCAAGGAGATGAGGCCAGTCTTTTGATAGTGGTGCCCAGGGACAGGACAAGGGGAAATGAGCACAAACTTGAACATAAGAAGTTCCATCTAAAGATGAAGAGGAACTTCTTTCCTGTGAGGGTGGCAGAGCCCTGGAACAGGCTGCCCAGGGAGGTGGTGGAGTCTCCTTCTCTGGAGACATTCAAAACTCGCCTGGCCACGTTCCTGTGCAACCTGCTCTGGGTGGACATGCTCTGGCAGGGGGGTTGGACTCGATGATCTCCAGAGGTCCCTTCCTACCCCATAGCATTCTGTGAATTCCACTCCATGTGTCCCGTTCCCTTCAGGTCTGCAGGTGTGACAAGGCGAAGGGTGCTGTCTAGCACTGTCCCACCTGCTCTCTGGTTCTTCCAGGTGCATGTTTGCCTACAAACTGGGCCTCCAGGATCTGCCACAGTCGGTGGCTTTCTTCAGCGCGGTGGATGTTGACCAGTGCTTGAGGAAAGAGGTGACCATGAACTGCGTGACGCCATCCAATCCAACCGGCATGGAGAAGAAATACGGCATCCCTCAAGGTGAGCGGTGTCAGTGCTAGCCGACCCCCCATAATCCCCTCTGCACAACCCACACAGTGTGGACACTTGGTCTAAGCAACCCTTCCCTGTGGGGTTCTCCATTTGTGAGCCCCCTGGCCACCCTGCAGGGCAACCGCTGTCCTAGTGCCAGTCCCTCTCTCCCCCCGCCCCTTTCCTTTCTCAGTCCCTGAGAAGTTTGTGCTGCTGCTTCCAAATGTTTCTGACAGGGATGAGCTGGGTTTGGCTCCGTTATCACACGCCCACCTTTGCTTTGTACCCCTCAGAGAGGAGCCCTCCTGGGCACTTGTAACACAGCCCAAAGTTAAATTGCTCCTTCTCTGAAATGAGAAGGAACAGCCATTTATATTTTGCCCTCCAGACCCAAACGTCTCCAGTTTTCCGTGCTTTCTCTCCTTCCCCCCTCCCCTCTACAGAATCACAGTGATATGGGGTTGGAAGGGACCTCTGGAGATCATCTAGTCCAGAGCAGGTCCACCCAGAGCAGATTGCACAGGAATGTGTCCAGGATGGTTTTGAATGTCTCCAGAGGAGACTCCACCACCTCCCTGGGCAGCCTGTTCCAGTGCTCTGTCACCCTCACAGCAAAGAAGTTCCTCCTTATGTTTAGGTGGAACTTCTTATGTTCAAGTTTGTGCCCATTTCCTCTTTTCTCAGATAAGAAGACCCAGCCCTGAGATTTGTTCTCAGTCACTGAACACATCAGACACTCTGCCCTTAGGTGACCTTTATTAGGAATCTTACAGGAAAAGGTGCTTTCAGTAACAGGATTTGTGTTCTGGGGGGCAAAAAAGGGCACTTCAGGTCTCACCAAAAACAAGGCAAATTAAACAAGTGCATCGCATCAGGGCCAGCAAAAAGGTAACAGCACAACCAGCCTCACCCAGGAAGCTGTCACCTCTCTGCACCCAGCAGCATCAGCTCTGAGGCACAACAACTCCTTTTTCCAGCTTCCTACTGGTGCTGGGTCCCACCTTCACACCGCCCCACAAAACAGAAGTCTGAATAAATTTCGGGCTTTTTGTGCTACACGCTCTGAATTGAAGCGAATCACGCCCGTCACTCTCTTGTGTTACACGGTCTCCGAGTGCACTGCAGCACAGAGGGAACTGATTGTCCCCTTGTCTTCCAGGAGAAGCACTGGATATCTATCAGCTAATTGAAATAACCAAAGGCTCACTGGAGAAGAAGTGATGATGCTGGAGTGCCAGAATGATAGTCGTCCAGAGAGCGCGCCAGGGCCTGGCTGTCCTTTCAGGAGGAGATCGTTTGGCAAAGACTGATCCTGGTCACTCTCTTTCCTTTTTTTTTCTTCTGTAAGAAGGGATGTTCCTGGGGAAGATTTTGATAGCAGCACAGTCGACCAGCAGAGGTGCTTCTGAGGGCAGCAGCTAGCTGTAAAACCTGAGACAGTGACCTGAGTGGCTGCTTGCATGCCCATGAGCACAAAGGAAGAAGTCCTAAGTATTTGGCAAGAGAAACAAGAAGCCATCATCTCCACACACGCATTTCTCCAAGACCAAGGCACTGTGGGAGGAGGCAGCAGCAGCAACTCCAGCTTTATTTTTTCCTCTGTCTCTTCTTTTTGGGTTCCTGGTTCTCGTCTGTCTGCTCCGCGGTGCTGCTCTGGAGGGGGAAGGAGAGAGCAGGGGTACAGTGTGTGATTGGGTTTGTGTGATTAGTCTAAGGAATGTTTACTTAAAGCGAGAAACTAGATGAGAAGAACAGGATTTAGCTCTTTTTCCTCCCAGACAAAATGACCTGAACACAGGACTCCTCTCGCCCACTGAGACTTTCCCCATGGAAAGTTTGTGCTGGAACTTAGGCCCCGGGTTATGAATGGCACAGGACAGTCCCTGTTTGTGCTGGGTTTGGGTTGTTGAAACACTCAGGAAATTACAGACAGAAGCACCAATAAAAACCTGGACAATCAGCAAAGTCAACTGTTTATCTTTTTCTGCTGCACAGGTTGGCTGCCTTTCACCAGCAGTATCTAGTAGAGGAGATGGGTGGGAGGAGAACGTTGCTGGGCAGAGCTTGCCCTGCCAGCTCTTTGTCTGCAAAAGTTAACCTGGATGGAAAGGTCTGATCCTGGCCAACCAGTAGACCCTCAGAGGCAATGCTGGTCAACCTCTCTGCTTGCTGGTGCAAGCAAGGAGGCCTTCAGAGCAATTTCACTTCTCTAAGACCAGAGGTACAGCTAACTGGTGCACAGAGGTGAAGGTCACTCAAGGCAGAGGGCAGGAGTGTAGGGGACATCAGCCTGACTCACTGTTCCCTCTGCATCAGCTTAATATTAAAATGAAAACCAACCCAGGGAAGTCAAACTGTCCTGATTTCACATGTGCCTGGCCAGGTCACGACTGCAGCTGGGCTCAAGGGAGGGGGGAACCCATCAGTAACAGCAGATAAACGAGTTCTGACCTGGTTGTTGTCGGGCTCGTTCTCAGCATCCTCCGCGTTGTGCTCCTGCAGGGCGCTGTCGAGCATGGAGGCGTTGATGCGGAAGTCCCGGGAGGTGCTGAGCTTCATGTATTGCATCAAGTTCACCTGCAGCGAAACCAGGGGGAGAGGACGTTATGCCAGTAGCATTTTAGTTTAGTTTTCTACCCTGCCCGGTCCTTTGCACAGCACTGAGACAGAGTCCCTCACGGTAATAACTGAAGCAAAAGGGCCATGTTTTTGTGAGAGCCAAGTGAGTACCAGTTATTCTCACTCTCACACAGTATTTCATCGTGGTTCTTCTCTCTCCTGCTTATGAAACAGGCTGGGGGGAGTGGGGTGAGGAAAGCTGGTGTTAGGTGTGTATCTGCTCCACCAGAAACCCCCCCAGTGTAGGGTCAGGGCCATTGACACCCGCTGGTACCAGCAATTCAGTAGTGCTGGGCCAGGAGCTCAGGCAAAGGCTGGAAGCAGGGTAAGGTCCTTAACACCTTCCTAATTGGAGTAGCAGTGGAAGTTTTAAAAGGTGGAAGTGCAGTAGCCCTCCACCACGTCACGATCCTGCTGTTCCACTGCATACAGGTCACAGCTGAGCTCTGCTTTGCGTTACCTTTGATTTCTTGGAGAGATGGATAAGGAACTTCTCATATTGCTCTATTGCAAAAATCAGATTTGGGATGGGCTTGGTCTCGCGAAGCACCTTCGCCTGAAATGCAGAAAGGAGAGTGGAAGGTCAGATTTGGAAGTGAACAGCCTGAAGATACCCTGGTGCTGTCACAGTGAACAGGCACACCTGCAGCAGCACTAATAGGGCACCCATATTAGTATCAGCTGCTTAGACCCCTCCCAAAAGACAACAATGCTGTAGTGTGACGTGAAGACCACAACTACTGCAGTTCAGAAAAGTGTCTTCACTTGCTCCATACCAGTCCTGTCCCAGCCAGCCTTGCCAGTTTGTTACTGGTTTTAAATTGACTCCCACAATGGTTCACTTGCTCCCAACCATATCATAGAGTCATTCTCAACTGCCTTGCTTTAGTGGAATACATTACTTTATCTTTAAATGTACTGATAAAAGTAAGAAACGCTTAAACAGAGTGCAGTATTGGTTGCAATAAATGAGCCTGTTCCTGTAATTTCATAGCTTACCCCAAATGATACCCTATCAGGCAACACAGACTATCCAGACTTTACCTTTGTTTCACGTCTGTGAGCTTTTAGGCTGCATTTAATGAAGGAGGTTTTTTTTGATTTTGTTTTTTAAACTTTTCTCCGAAGTCAAGGTAGAAGAAATTAGGTTTTTACTTAAAGGCCCAAATGTCAATTTATCACTGGTAAAGCCAACAGGTCACACTAACCCTGAGGTGAGATCCCAGGTTCAAATGCAGCCCACGTCCCAAAGAGAGTGGGTCAATCTTACCATGACCGTGGAGATTGCAGCAGCTTCATCCTCTTTCTTCTTCTTTTTTTTCTCTTCTGCAAAGCTTAAGCTCTCACTGTGGATGTTCTGAAGGAGGATGCCAAGAGATGTGGCATTAGAAGGTAATTAGAGAAAGGCCAGCCAAGCAAGGCCGGAGAAGTCTTTGCCCTGGCCAGCAAAAAGCATTACCAGCTCAATGACAGAAAGGCAGTGATACAAGAAGGAGGGAATGGGGGGGTAATCTCAAAAAATGAAGGCAAGAAAACCTAATTTCATCATTTATACATTGAGGAATATGTATGTAAGTGAAGTCCCCAGGAGCTGTAGCTCTGTATACCACCACACTTCCCCACTATGCCAAGTCTGCTCTGCAGTGCCTCACTTGAGCACCCAAGTCCTCTCCAAACAGCTACATCCCATCTTTGGCACCACAGTCTTTGGCACCCACGTTATTTTAAACTGTGATGACTGCAGTGTTGTTGACCTTTATTTGCCATTGTGGTTAACAGCAGTATTAATCTCATCCAAAAAAATAAATAATAATAATGACATGAACAGAGGAGAGAAAATAAAAGCTAAAGAAGCAGCTCCCCAAACGCTCTTCCTTCTTTGCTCAAGCAGAAATAAGCATGTTTAGTTCCAATAGTGCTGAAATGTCTTACAATAGTATTTGACATAGTAAAGCTTGAAATATAAGAAACTCAAATCATGTCAAGAAGATTAATAATCCCTATAGGTGCCTACCTGTTGTAGCTGATACACCACTCAGCATGGGAAAGACCAACTGTGATTTTGCCACAATTAATTTAGGCCTTACCTGTACATAAGTAATGAATGAATAACACTGTGGGGTCAAATGGGAACCTGAGAGTTTCACCTGCAAAGAAGCAGAGAGGTTGGTGTTACCCCCAGCCCGAGGCACGGAGCCATTTCCTCCTCCTGCAATTCCCTCACACTCACCAGCTTTTCGAGCCGTGCCGGGATCGCGTTGGAGTTGCTGCGACAAGCCTGGATATACTGCAAGGAAAACACAAGAGAGTTTCTTCTAGGTGTGCTGCTTCCAGGCAGGGCTCAAAGCACAGAGGGGACGGCAGGATCTGCAAGATCTATCGTCCCCCAGCGGCCTGCTACATCCCAAATGCTGTGTCTGCATGCCAGAGCTGTGAGAGAGCTAAGGGGATTCACCATCTCATCTCAAACTAGCTCCACTGGCCTGTTTTCGTGGCCCAGTTCCCTAAGTCTGGTGCTTCAAGCCTTAGATGGGAATGCATAACAAGAGCAGGATTGCTGAGGACTCTGAGAACATCTCTTGTGTCATTCATGGTGGCACACAGTTGTGTACAGAGGAACCTACAAGATACACTGGAAAGAGACACTCCGAGCCACACAAATTCAGCTGGAGGGAAGCTTTTCTTTATCCCCACTGGTACAACTGTCGCTGCTGCAGAAAGGTCATGAAATTGAGGGTGTGAAAGCCAACAGAATAAGGACTCGACCCCTGCAAGAGATCAACAGCCCAGTCCTGAGCCTGGCTGCTGCCAAGGGTCACTGTGAGCTCGCTGCAGCAGATGGGGGAAAAGTTTTTTAGATCCCAGGCAGCCCACGGCCAGCAGAGCAGCACTCACATGTTTGACAAGGGAGGTGAGAATTGCGTATGTCTTGCTGAGGCTTCTCAGCAGCGTGTCCACGCAGCTCCCCGCGGGGAGTGCTGTCTGTACCAGCTCATGATAGACTGTCAGCAGAGTTCCCAGCTGCAGAATTACACCTTTCTCCAGAGCCTGGGCTTGGTTCGATGCCTGAGAAGAGTCTTCTGGAAGAAAGAGATGAGTAGTACCTGGTTAAACGTGTGTCTAACGAATGCAATTATGCAGGGGGGAGGCACAAAAGATGATCTTTGCACCTGGTGCACAAAGCACCGGTGTGGCACAGGGACAACAATCCCTGGAGGGATGTTGTGACAACACTTTCTACCTTACGTTGTTCATGTTGAACCAGCTCAAGAGAGAGTTTAACCTGCTCTCAGATGATGCTCGCTGTCTTCATCCCATTTTGACACAAGGCGTAACAGTAAAAAAATGGATCACTTTCATTACCTGATGTGTCTGACCCCAGACTGGTGAGTTTTTTGATAAGCCAATCCACCTCTTCAAGGACCTTATCCGCCTGTCCCAGGACCAGCAGCTGAGACAGATAACAAAACAGGTTCTTGGAGGAGTTTGGCACAACAGGGATCTCTGAGCCACTCGCAGCAGAGTAGCCCTGGACACTACAGGTGGTTCCATGCACAGGATTTTGACTCACACAGACAGTAGGGGCTGCAGTCTTGGTGTTCACTATGGCGAAATGGGACCGACTCTCCACTTCTATGTCCTGGTCAGAGGAGAGAAAACAAATTCTGGTGAGTAAAACATAGTTTGTGCCGGAGATGCCCTCAATTCTGCTCTGACAGCACTAAGTGATGAAGAGTTAGGCTTGATCCTGCATCATACCTGATCTATGTCTCCCAGGCACGCGTGGATGTCCTGTGCCAGTTCGCGCAGCAGAGCGACAGGACTCTTGTACAGAGCGTGGAGACTGAAGAGCAGAGAGAGCAAACCCTTGCAGCAGGAGAGATCCTCTGCAGGGAAGGGAAAAGAAAACAACACATCACCAGGTGCAGAGCTCCCCTGGCTATTTAGGGCCAGCAGACATCCAGTGAGGGAACGCCTCAGATTCAGTATGGATTTAACAGTCTGCATTCCTAAAAATGACACACAGAAGGTGAAAAACCCATCAAAATACTGCAGTTACAAAAGCAGAGTTTTACAACGTTACTACTGCAAGAAGTACAGCACACTGGAGCCCTCAGCTCATAGAAAAATGATGACCAGAAGCACTGAGGAAGCGCAATGCAAACCCTGGTGAGAGTAATACCTTTCCGGAGTATAAATCCGGATCTGAGCAACAGCTGTGCTAAATAACAACAGAGAAAAATCAAGTAAGTGGCTACTCTCTCTCTTCAGCAATGCTAATATTTATAGAGATGGAGTTTCTTCCCTAATACTTGTTCTAATAACCACAATGTCATGGCAATCTGCCACAGAACGGGATGTGATTTTATCTGTAAGAGAGGTAGAAACAGGACAGACAACAGCAGAGCATCTAAGGGTCTAATATCCGACCTGACATATCACATCTAAACACTCTCCCCAAACCTGACTTACCCAGAGCATTTTCTTTGCAGATTTTGACTGTCCAAGTCAGGAATTGAAGGAACTGCATGAGGGGAAAAAAGATATTA